TAATCCCTTAGACATGTACTGTTGACCAACTCTGGAACTAGGGGTAGATCCAGCCAGGACTACTCTGAACTCCGTGACTCAATGGGAGGGTATCCTTACCCTTTTTGTATCAGACATAAACCGTTGTTCAAGTCTGAGACTAAGATTGGATCCAGCTGGGTCTTTTCTGAACCTCGTGACTCAGCAGGCAGGTCTCCCTTAACCTTTTCATCCTTGGCCTCTGTATAAATCATTCCAACTCAATTCTAACACGATACCCTTGTTTCGGCTGGGATAGAGTTAATTTTCTTGCTAATAGCTGGTATAGTGCTGTGTTTGGGATTTAGTATGAGAATAATGTTGGTAACACACTGATGTTTTAGTTGTTGCTAAGTAGTGTTCACACTAGCCAAGGACTTTTCAGCTTCCCATGCTCTTTTCCTTTGTATGCTTCATCCGTGTAGTAAGGGATAGAGTGAACCTTGCCATCGAACTCTGTTAAGTCGCGCTTTCATAAATTTCTGTTAAAATCACTTTCTGCTAATACCTTTGATAGTGATTCTTTGAGCGGCCTCTAAACCACTCATTCGCGACAGTAGCTTTCATTTCTAGTTAAGCATTAAAATACAAAGCTTTACATTTGAAGCTTTACATTTGCACAGGTTATTATTAATACTGTTTATATATCAGTATTCTTATTTTGAGTTAACGTCCTAGTCTAAAACATGGACTAAGATAAGTGTTGCATTCCATTCTGAGGCCAGAACAGACTTGTAAGCAAATGCAAATTGGTTAAAGGTAAAAAAAAAAAAATCTTTTCATAAACCACCCCCCCAACAAACAAAAAAAACCCTATAAACCCCGCTACTAATGGGTGTGGAAGAACATGCATTCACAGGCAGCAGACAAATATTTTGCTATGTTGGCACAATTGATTGCTTCCATGCAAGTAGGTGCTTACTGGAATTGTTCCACCTAATTTGTGTGCAGTGTATGGAACTGAATGTGTGCTTTCCTATTTGTAAATTCTTTTGCATCTTGTTGTGATTTCCCCCCCCCCTCCCGCCATGTATTTATCTTGTGGCTTTTTGTGAGCAAAAAGCTTTTGAGGATTCTCAAATGCTTCTCTTATACAACAGATACGGTAAATATGCTAAGTATGTAACAAAGTACACTCATAAGTTGTCTCTTACCTTATCTTTCCCGTATTCCTATCATATTTGTGGTACTTGCTTTGCCAGTACATATTATTTCAGAGCTGTAATTAGTTTAGCTTCTAAGATGAAAAAAGGTGTTGTATAAAGGTATTAAAACCATATAAAAATAGTTCGTGATTTTTTGAAAATCAACACAGGCATTAAAAGAGAATATGTGAATAGGATGAATTAACTTTTTTTTGCTGTATTTCAGTTCAAAACTTCATTTTAAAAATGAAAAACTGGATGGCACCTCTCCAAATCTTTGTCTGAACTCCAAAGTTACTCACACTGAAAGAACTCTTCCTATTCACTGTGAATTTTTTTAACTATTGTTGCAGAACTGTGGGAGGTGCACATCAGAAGTCTTTTTGTTTTGGCATTTTCGTGTGTGTGCTACTAAGGTGGTTTTTTTGACCCATTACTGTATCTGGGGAAATAAGTAGGGCTCAATGAGCACCGCTGTAATAACTTGTGAAGAAGATAAGGGTTTTTTCTGATGAGTGTTTTTGAGTGTTTTTCTTGTTTTTTGAATTTTTAAACTGTGCAGGGAAAAGCTCAGTTCATCTGACTGCTATTCTGTTGGTATCTGCCTGTTAATGGCTAAATCTAAAAACATTGCTTGAAGATGTCCAGATCTTGAAGATTTCTGATGATATCGTAGAGAGAAGGATGGAGAAGGGAGGAGCAGCAGACTGGATGATGTGTTACTGGGGCCAGAGTTAAAACCAGACCATTAAAAGAATGCGTGCGCCTTTCTGTAGTCTTCCACTCTCCCACAGGCATGGCCTTTCTAGAGACACCATAATACATTTGTTCCTTTCAAGGATTGCGAAGAAATTTTTTTTTTTTTTTAAGCTGTTTAGCTTAGATTCCGCCCCCCACCTCAGGAGGGATACTTATCATTCTTGTTCAACTGGTGGAGTCTTTTTGGTAGGCTTCAGAAGTTGATATAGAAAGGGAAAGGATTGTGGCTTAATTCAAGTGCTGCAGGAGACACTTCTATATTTATGTGTGGGAAAATATAAAATGATTCAGGGAAAAAATCTTGAACGCAGACTGTTCTATCTAACAAAATATATACAAGCACTGTTTAATCTTCCTAGGATTATAAAGGCAGGTCAGCATACTTCAACTCGATATGAGTGAGCTGCAGCAAGAAGTGATGATGAAGAGGAGACTTGTCTAACAGAACATAAATTTAAACACAAAGTGGAAAAAAGTATTTTCAGGTCTGGTGGAGTGGTACTTGACTGCTAAGCATGTGTTGGGCAAGTGCTTGTCAGGCTTAAAAACCAAGGATTAGAAATGATGTAAGAGTGCCAGTTTGGTATAAATTATTCAAAGAAAAAAAAATGGAAGAGTTGAAAATGCTGCCCCAACTGCATCAAGGTAGACCACAGACTTAAAGATAAACAGGAAAGTTGCAGCTATTGACTCAAATTTAGGAAAAGTTGAAAGTGGTGAAATCATTACGGAATTTAAAAAAAAAAAAAATTACTTCATTAGCATAAAGGTGAATTGCAACAACAATTTGCAACTCTTGAAGAAAAATGTTGAAAGTGAAGAATATAGACTCTGAGAGGTCTGTGTTTGTGGCAGAGAAGTGCTGATAACTGTTTTAAAAAAAAAAAAAAATGCTACCTGAAATAGTCAAGAGCATATTTGAATATGATCTTCCAGTTGAAGAGAAGTATTAGTGTGGTATCCTGTCCACTCATAAAGATTAAAACACAACTGGTAGCTCAAATCACTTTAAAAAAAAGTCCTAGAATTTAACAGCGAAAATTAAACAGAACTTAATAATAAATAAGGTTATTTTAGAAGTAGCTGATAGGGAATATAAAAGGGAGGCTAGGCTACTTATTAAATTCAAGCTAATATAGAGGCAGTGAGTGTGGATTAAATGCAGCCTAGAACGTGCAATTAGAGATTATTGTGTTGAAAGTTGCAGCTCAGAAAGCAGGTACTGTTCATGAAGAGGTTTAAAGATGAGTAAAACCTTTTCAAAAAGTGTGACAGTGACATTCTGACATCTTATTTTTTGACGACTTTGAAACTTCTGTTTAAATAGCTTAAACTTAAACTGCTGAGGGATTCTCATTTCTCACTATGTAATGGATTAATGAGTAATAGACTTGATGAAAATAAACTGATTCGCTAGGGAAAAAGTTGTCTGGTCCCATTAATAAAGCTGGGCTTTTTTCCTGCCCCAGTATTTTCCCGGTGGAAATGCTGCTGTTTATCTGAATTAATCCTACTCTGCCTGTTGTGGTTGAGGATGTGACCTAGTTCCAGGTAACAGATGTCTGGAAATAAAGGACTGTGTATCATATAGGAAGAGACAAGAGCCGCCTCGGCATAGGTTCCTAAGCACAGGGAACTGTGGTGGTAGAAATTCAGACTTCCTAATAATTTCTGTTTGCAGCCCAGCCAAGATGGTTTGTCAGTTTGTGTATTCTTCAGTAAAAACTGATCGGAGTCACCTGTACATTTATTAGCCTTTGAAAAAGAATGGAACATTTGTATTATTAAGGAGGAACCCGATCTGTTCTGATAAATTGGCTGGGAGTAACTAGAGATGCTGGAATCATTGAGTGGGTAATAGCTTTCCAAGCCCTGCAGCGTTTTTTTCTTTTGAGCAACTATTATTTATTCAGCAGTGTGTGCTCGCCTTCTTTGCAGTGGAGAAAAGACAAGTACCCTCTCCAGAGAAAACACTGGCAACAAAACTTTTTCTGCTTCAGCTCTTTTCAATCTAGAACTGAGCTGGGTTTGAGAAGCTGATAAGTGGTGGGCTGGGTTTTTTTGGTACCAGTTAAAGAAAATTGTCAGGGTTACTTAACATTCCCATGATACTGGGTTCTTCCTGTAGTGTCTGATTACACCTTTCATGACACCAACTAGTTTCTCCAGTCCAAGTTGCATGTATTACAGCTCGCCAATGGCAGTGTTTGTGCTAATGATCACTGAAGGTGGTGTCTCATTGCACCACCTTTGTTTAGTGGCTGCTGAAGAGATTGGCTGCAGGAGGAATTGGCTGCTTTCAGCTTATTCCTTAAAAAATAGCTCTCTTGTGAAAACTGCTATTTACTGACCTTCCAGAGGATGAGCAAGTTTCAGCGCAAACTTTCTTTTGCTTCAGGAACGACGATCAATTGGTTGGAACCGAAGATATCTCTGGCAAACCACCTCAAAAATGGAGCGGCTCAGAATTTCCCCACAGAGATAAACAAGCCAGCATCTGTCAGAGAAGAGCAGTCCATTGCAGAGCCCTGCCAGCTAACAAGGGTAAGGTAATGTGAACATCCCGTTTCTGTGGGGAATTATTTTGAGGAATATCTGTAAATGTTTCAATCGTATTATGTGAAAATGATTTAATGACAATTCTTCTCACACTTTTTGGTTAGCTGTGTCGGAGGAAGAGTGAGTGCAGTTGCAGTAAATGAAACTTTCTACCTTGCTTTTTCAATACTTTTTGCTGCTTTCTGTAACTCGCTGTCCAGTGGAGGGAACCAATTCGGACGGTAGTGTGAGGTGGTGTTGCAGTATTCCATTGCATTTTGATCTAAACCAACTGGAAATTGAAGTGCAAAAAACCTAAATGGAATTCATGACACTCTCAAAATGGGCCCAAGAAGTGCTGCCTAAGTAGATGAGACACAAAATTGCTCGTCTCCAGCTATTAAATCTCTCCGTCTTTCTTTTCTAGCTCTTGCTGCGTCTTAATCTGCGTTTTTCTTAATCTGAGCAACTCTCATCACTTGACTTCAGGATGGCTTAATGTATTTGAAATACAGCTACAGTCTGTATCACTGTAACTGTCAAAATTGATTTGAAGTGCAAAATACTAAAGTAAAAAAACCAGCAGGGATTGTGATAAAGAACATGTTTTCCTAACTAAGCTAGAAAATCATAATTACATTCTTTTTATACTAGTTGGTTTCACACAGTTGTTTGGATGAGACTATCAAAAAGATGATCTGCTGTTGTATGTCTCTACAATAGCACTGTGCTATCTTATAGCAAAATCGAAATGGAAAAGATTTTTTTCAGTTGCTGTAGTTTATAGATTTTTTAAATGGATCTGAGTAGTTGCTACTAAGTTAAAAAAAGAAAAAATGAAACAAACCAGGAGCTTTCAAATAAATCACTTAATTCCTTCCTTCTAATAATTGAGTGAGGTACAATTCAAGTGCTTAATGTATATCACTGTCTGTATTTGGGACATGACTACTCATCACTCCCCTTAGATATTTTCAGCTCCCTTATTTATGATAGCAGAACAGCGTAGCATCCTTGGAAATGAGTCACCTGTGTGATACTGCAGTTTTCATCAGGGTTTGAGCTCTGTGTGAGGTCTTGGCCCCCTGTTTTTGATGGTTGAGTGTTCATAAATTTGCCTTGAGCTAGGGCAGCTGGTCCAGGAAAAAGGGCTTTGCTTAGGCAGACGCATATTGCTGCCCTCCTGTGGCATTCACTGCCTCTCCTCTCTGCATCTGCCTCCCTCCAGCTGTTTGCCCCGAGATGATGCTACTCAGCGCCCTAGGAATACCACCATCCCTTCTGCCTGAAGCGTTCGACTTTCTGCTTGCAGAGTGTTGGTTGTTAAAACAGTGCTTGGAGGGTGGTGGTTGTTAAAGTGGTGCTAATATAATTTTTGCTAGTCTGTCTGGGTGCTTTAGTTATACTAACAGGCAACCAGCATGTGTGGTGTGTGTATGTGTGGGTTTTTTCTTTTTATAAAACTACTCCAAGTTACTTTTTCTTTTACTGTTACATATGGGCACTAGCAGCAACATAGATAATGCTTCTGAAGACTAGCCTGTAGATATGTTAATTGCTTGTCATCAGGCATGACAGTAAGCAAGTAACTAGGAACTACCATTTGCTACAGCCTTCGGAGTAATGATGGCAACACTGGAAAGCCTGAAGTAGTGCGGAGGTGGAGGGGCGTTATTGAGGTGGTTGGAATTTCTGCTAGCATTTGCTTCGCTATTTTTGTGTATGTGTTAGATGCTTGCCATTCTGTTAGCTCACAAAACTTAGAGGAAAACAGGTTGTATTTGCTTTTAAGCTTTTTTTTTCCTCCCTGAGCTGTGTGAGAGATAAGAAATCTTAGCCTGAATCCTCTAGATGAAATCTGCACTGAATTATCTTAATGTCCCTTTAAATTCTTCAACTGTTGTTTATCTTGGGGGTAGATTCCATTGTGTAGCTCTCTGCAGGGGTTTATTTAGTCTTTTTTTCATACATGGACAGTTAAATACAAGATGAAGTCCTTTTTGGATATTGTCTGGCCAATCACATCTTTGAGCTGATGTTTATGGCTCTTATCCCAGGAACCTGAAGAAATAAATCCAGATGAGGAGTTGGAGGATATCTCTGATGATAAAGAAGATGATCTAGGAGCAGTAGAAGAACAGCGCAGTGTTATCTTGCATCTCTTGTCTCAGCTGAAACTTGGCATGGACTTAACAAGAGTAAGTAACTGAAGTGTGAAGACTGGCTGCAGTAAAAGTGAAGTGCCATTTTAAACTCAACTCTTGTATTGAACAATACTGAGTTTAAGACAAAATTGTGGCCTGTAGCAACTTCAGGTCCTAAGATCCGATGTTGCAGGACATCGCAGGTTTTAAGTGAAACATGCTGAGGGATTTTCTTTAATGCAACTGGCCGTATCTTTTCTATTACATTCTCTTTGTGTTTTCTACTATGGTTTTGTTGGCTTTCCTATAATGGCCTGTTTTCTTTCCTGTGTTTGCACCTTACTCTTTCCATGCTGTTTTCTACAGCCTTCTAATATTTTTGTCTTTCTGCTTTCCTTCCATGATCTTTTTTCTCACTTGATAATGCTTTTACACACAACTCGCGTAACCCTACACCTGTATTCATGCTGCTTCTAAAAATAAGTTTTCTTTTGGTTCCCCCATTATCTATTCTCAGAAGTCTGTTTATGCCTCTCTGTGCTATTCTCCTATTTTGTGTTTGCTCACAGCTATAGCAAGCAGGAACAAAGTTATACTAGAGAGAAGTGGGTTTGACACTTCAGTGCAGATCTCAAAAGCAAGCAGCTTTGAAAAATTAACGCTCGGTTACTACTAGACAGCTTGGGCTGCTACCTGTAAAGACCTCTTACCATAAGCGCTAGATGCTTTTAAAGAAAAAATGGATTTTACTGTGGCATGGAATGAGGAAAACGCTCTCTTTCTTGGAGTTATGGATTATAGTTTCTTTTTCCAAGCTATGATTTTTAAGCACTAGCTATCTGGCCACTAGAAACACTTGTATTGTGGAGCTTACATTTCACAATTCAGAGGGAAAAAAAAGGTGGTATGAACAGGCCCTGCTGCCTATGGGCCAAACTTAAATGCCTGCTGCTTAATCAGGAATTCATTAAGTCATTATTTCATTTATATCAAAGATTGGATTTGGTCTATCTTTTTCTCTTAGTTGGAACAAATTGTCAAGTCTGTCTCCCAGTTGTGACTTTTGGCTCTGTGTGCAGAATTGTCATTAGTTCAGAGCAGGCAAAGCATTGAAATGCGACAAGTCTGACTTCAAAACAGGTAACGAAGTTGTTAGAATCACATTTAACTTAAGTATCAGGGTACTGAAGCAAACAGCAACTTTAATATTCCAGGTTGGTGTTGCAACAACATGGCAAGTGTATTCAGCTTAACTTGTATATCTATTAAGAGTCTTATGTCTGTGCTCTACCTCTTCGAATGCAGCTGATTTAAATGGACTGTCTTGTTCTCATGGTTGAGACACCCTGTGTTGCTCTTTACAACAGAGTTAGTTATGTGAGGTTAGTTGCCACTACAGGGAAGAAGACTGATGATACCCACAGCCTCTTACTCTACAGTATTGCTCTTGGCCCAGCAAAGGACAGGACTGCTGTTTTTTATAGTGGTGAATATAACTGTGAAAGTATAAGGTCCTCTGCTCAGAGGTACAGGATCAGCCTATACTATGTTATTTCTCATGGATGCTTGTCCTAGTTGCTGTGGTGAGAGAGACTCTGCAGGCTCTCAAGAGCACTGGCATATGTTGCCTGCTTTTCTCTCCATTAGACAAAACCTTTCCTAACATCTGCTCTGAACCTTCCTTGCTGTAGTTTGAGCTCCTTCCTGCTTGTTTTCTCCTCCACAGACATGTAGGACACATTATCTCTTTGCAGCTCTTTTATGTTTTTTGAGGGATGCTCAGTCCCTTTCAACCTCTTTAGTGCTAATAGTACTTACTGGGCTTTTATCTCCTTGTAAATTGCTTTTCTGGGACCTCTGATCACTGTGTTTTGCTTGCATCTTAGAAGGGGGACAAGAAAGTTTAGTCTGAAAGTGCGGTGTCCAAAACAGGACAAAATCCTCCACCTGAGAACTTCCCTTATAAAAATGCCTATCTCTTTGTTTTAATTACTAGAGCTTTCTGGGTTTTCTTTTATTTCAGGTGGTTCTTCCCACTTTTATTTTAGAGAAGCGATCGTTGTTGGAGATGTATGCGGACTTCATGTCCCATCCAGATCTCTTCATTGCAATCACAAATGGTACTACCCCTGAGGAGAGGATGATCTGCTTTGTTGAGTATTATCTCACTTCATTTCACGAAGGCCGCAAAGGAGCTATTGCAAAGAAACCATACAATCCAATCATTGGGGAAACATTTCACTGCTCCTGGAGGATGCCAAAGAGCGACGTAGCCACTGATGCTGGCAGTAACTTCTCTGCTCACTCCCCCTCAGAGCAAGTAACTCTGTCTAAAGATCTGGAAGGCCAAACAGAGCTGGACTACTATACAGTAAAATTTGTAGCCGAGCAAGTGTCCCACCATCCTCCTGTCTCAGGGTTTTATGCTGAATGTGTAGAGAGAAAGATGTGTGTCAATGCCCACGTCTGGACAAAAAGTAAATTCTTAGGAATGTCAATAGGAGTGACAATGGTTGGTGAGGGTAAGTGTAACTTCTGTCCTTTATTCGTTTTAGAAAGTTGTTAAAATACTAGTTTGAGAGGAAATTTGATGTTGTATGCCTCTGGCAGAAATACAGATGAATACTGATCAGTAGTTGTCTTTCAAAGACTTTTCAGAAGAATTTGCTTGCAGAGATGTCAGCTGCTACTGTGGGTTTTCAGATTTTTTTTTTTTTACATACTTTTATTTTTCCTCTAATCTCTGTGATCTGTAAACCTTAATGTACAGTCATTCAGTGATTTCTTACTTTACTGTTTACAAAGTACAGAAGATACTACAAGTCCTCATTATAAACAGCAAGTTTTCACATGGGGAAAAAAAAACCAGATAGGTTTATGCTTTGCCAAAAATCAGGATTATATTTGGAAATAGAATTTTGACTTTTAAACCAAAGGGCAGTTACTGTAATTGGAAACATTCATAAATATCAGTTTACAAGCATTGGACAAACTAATTTGCACCAGACACTTATTAAATAGAAGTGTTGTTCAATTTGCATATATTGCACTTACGTATCTTACTATGCAAGTTTTAATTTTAACTACAGAAATTGGATCCTTTAGGGACTGAGAAGGGTAGCTGTCTTTAAACTGTAATTTCCCTTCAGTACTAGTATTTACTGCAAGAGATGAGGCAGCATCTCCCATTTTGTGTCCCCTGTGTATATTGCCCAGTAACTGGGGATTCCAGGCACTTGCATGTGAACTGTGTACGTGTCAGGGGAATGAGCATGGCAGGGGATGTGGAAGGTGCATCTTGATGCTTTGGCTGTACCAGGTAATTTCTGAAGTTAATATCTCCTCTAGGGCATTTCTCAAATCATGTCATAACTTTTCAGAATTTCTCATGTTTTTCACACTTAGGTCAGACGCACAGGGATAATATGCTACAGAGGCATGGGTCGATGCAGGCAGCAGTCGGTTGTCATGCTATGTTCTTGTAACGGCCAGAGGTAGATCTTGTGGGGTTTTTTAATAGAAATAAAACAAACCCACACATCTTAAAAACCAAAGAAAATTCTAGTTTTTTTATGAGATTCTTGACATTTATTGCAAAAGCTACTGTCAGGAAAGAGTTGGGTTTATCTTGGCAGAGAGGTGCAGTAGGGAGGATTGTCTCTGCTACCTGCCTTCAGATAGGGTAGGATGTATTATAGGGAGGGAGAACAGAGCAGGAGTATTAGCCTTCCTCAGGATCTGCAGTTCAGGATATTCATTCATTATTTCCTTTTGGCAGCGTAAGTCTTGTATTGCTGCGCTCCAGAACCATCAATAAGAGAGTGACCAGCTCTTTTACATACTACTGAAATGTATGTTGCACAGCACAATGTTGTACTTTATGGAGCAGTATTATTAGGATAAATGTCTTTTCCCAAAAGAAACATAAATGCATGTTACTCAGGTTAGTAATTTCAGGAACATGTTTGTGTCTAGAATCTGTAATAAATTTCAACTTCGTGGTTGTTTTTTTTTGAGGGTTTTTTTTGTGTGTGTGTGTGGTGGCTATGAGGAAAAGTAGTCAGACATACTATTGGCTCTCTGTTTCAATAACTCGTTTGGTCTTGTCTAAAGTGGTGCTGATTTAGGGATTCTTTTATTTCTTCACACAGGCCTATTAAGTCTCTTGGAACATGGGGAAGAATACACGTTCTCTCTACCCTGTGCATACGCTCGGTCAATTTTAACTGTTCCCTGGGTAGAACTGGGAGGAAAAGTCAACATTAACTGTGCGAAAACTGGGTATTCTGCAAGTATTAACTTTCACACCAAGCCCTTCTACGGTGGCAAATTGCATCGGTGAGAACACTTTTTTTCTATTTTTCCATGTAATCCACACTCTAGAACTGCAGTATCTGAGTAACTCCCCTGTTTTGTGTGCTGAATAATACTCATTTGATACTCTGAGAAAACGTAGTTTTTTCTGTTCATAAACACTCGAAGGTATTACTGTGCTCGTAAACAATATCATAGCTAAACAACTGCATCTCATGTGATTCTCAAGGAAAAATCATGTTGCCTTTTAAGACAGTAAGGAAATTCCATGTTTGTCTGACTCTGTGTTCAAACCACCAGGAAAACAGAGTCCTGCCTTTTATTCCTGGCTGCCACAGATTCTCTTATTACTGGCAGAAGTTGGTTAATTTTTCCTATTTTTTCAATTTGCTCTGTGTTTGAAATGAGGTCGATCTTGCTGTCTTAAAGGGTTGCGTGTTGTTTGCAACATGCATAGTAGTTGCACTGTGGGAAACACTAGTAAATAGTCTTATTTGTTTCTTATTGGTCTTAGGATTTCTGCATAAGAAACATAAGACTATCAAGTTTAAGCACCTAGAAAATCTCTAGGTAAAAATACCTTTTTTAAAGACAAAACCGGTAATTGTTCTAGTGGTAATTCTTCATGGGTATGCATGGTTAAAAACTAACAGGTAAAAGAAAATTCAAGGAAAGTTTGCTTGGGGTTACTTCTAGCAGATTCTAGGAAGTGTCTTCACACTTGGTGCAAAAGCTTTTAGAACTCATTAACATTGATGTTTTTAGACATTGTATAGTAAAACTGCTGCAGATTAGCCTTGTGCTAATATAGAGACAATTAATTAAGGAAGGAGAAAATTAAGTAGTAGTCACACAAAGAATACCTGATTCCAAAGCATTTTGCTCTCAGCCATTTACTGGAACGTGCTTGTTTAAACCTTTCTTAGATTAAATGTGTGAGAGATAATAATGAAATACGTAACAGCCTAGAACACCAGAACTTAAACGTGGGTTGCTCTCACAGGTTGCAAAAAATCAGCAGTCTTCTCTAAATCCTGAAACAGTAGGATAAGACCATATTTATTGTTTAGAGGAAAACAAAAAAACCCCATCAAAACCTCCCTTAAAGCACTTTGCCCCATAAATTCCCATACATGCTTTGAATTTAACTTGCAACCATAGCTCCCCTGTCCCAATGGCATCTGGAGAACTGAAGCTTACATGTAGCTCTATTTCACTTGACAGAATTTTAAAGCGATGCATCATTTGGGATTTTTGTTTCCATTGCTTACAATCTATCTTCCACCTTGCAATAGCTCCTGTTGTGCCATAAAAAATAAGTGATAGGATGCAATTTTACTTCAATGATTTAATTTTAGAAACTGTTTTATTATTTGTCTCTCTGAAATTAGTCACAGATGTAGAGGCTTTTCAAAGACATATCTGCTCAATGTACTGTAACTATTGAAAATTTGACATGGTGATGATTAGACATTGCCAAAAGAGCCTCTTGATGAGGAAGCAGCAGTGTTGTCATGGTTACGCAGAGCGCAAGTGAGTTGCTATGGCAACGTTATAGATTTCTTTTTTTGTAGAGTGACCCTTGTTGTTAGACCTCAGCTGGATATTGGCTCCTTGGTCCTGTACCTCTTTAGCTTGATGAAATAGAGGATGATGATAACGAACAGCTAGGTCTGTATCAATCATGCCAAGCTTACAAATAAACGCTAGCAGATTTTTATCAGTAATATTAGTTCAGGCAGATATTATGTTCTGCAATGCTGGGAATGGTTGTGTGTCACACAGCAATGCAACTTGAAGAAATACAGGTTTCAATGAGAGTTTAATGTAGCAGCTCGATACCGCACCTTAGTAGTGAGTGATATAACCTTGTTTACTTTAAGCTGAGCAGAGACAGTAATTTGGTGATTGATATTAAAATACTGGATGTCAGTATTGTGTTGTAACCAACACAGCGCATGGAAAGATTAAGCTCTTAAACTTGTGAAGGTGTAACTGCAAAGTCCGAACAGGCTGGTTTCTGGCATCGTATGGATTCAGTTCAGAGATCTCTCGAGAGGAGGACAAGGACTCTACCATGTGTAATAACTTTGGTGAGGTGTGGGAGTCACAGGATGAAAAAGCAGCACAAAATGAAGGTTGCTTGCTTGTTGCCTACTCTTTCAGTTGTTTTCAGAAACTGTTAGTGCTTAATAGTTTAATGTAAATGTGCTCATATTGCTCATATTGCTCCAACTTTGGCCTCTTTTCTTGAATGACTCTTAAATTTTTGTAATAAAAAACTGTGCCTGAGCAGCACGTACTTATCAGTCTGGTTTTTTGGAAGATCTTTCTAATAAAGTTAAATTAGGTTTGAGCTGCTGGACCATAATGTCCAGCTGCCTCCCGCGTGTGCAAGATGTGGCAGAAGCCTTGGCTGCTGCCTCCTGCTCTGAGCCGGCTGCGAGCTTTCCCCGCTTTCCCTAGGGATTCTGGAGGTCTGATTTGACTGGCATCCAGTGTTTCTGTGCTGGAAGGTCTGGCCTGTGATACTCGTTTCGTTGCCCGAGAAATTAATTTTTCTGTTGTGATGCAGGCTTGACGGGGGGACAGGTAGATGCAGACACAGCTGGAAGTGACCGGTGCACGTGGAAGCGGGGCAGTGGCATCTACACACCCCGCACTCCCTTCTTCCTCTGCATGTGGCACCACACAGCCAGCATGGGCAATGTGGGAGCACAGAAGAGCTGCTTTCTGCTCCTCTGTATGCAGTTGTTCCAAGGAAATAACAGCAAACCAGCGGTGTGCTATTATTAGCTGCACATAATGTAAGTGTGAAAGGAGATGTAACATGTGCTTTGTGTGAGCGCTGATGAACTGCGGGAAGGGGAACTGCAGAGTCGTGTGTTGTAGAGAGCTTGTGTACAGGTAATTGCAGTTTAATTGGAGCTGGAGATAGTGTCCTTTGTGAATCCTGCAACACCTTACAAGTGAGAATGTCTCAAGTCTTGTGTGCATAGTGTGCAGACCTTTTTGTTTCTTTCTGGGAGAAAACTTCTGCTTGAGGGTGGTAATTTGTTTGCCTAGCGATGCTCAGTAAGCTTCTGCTCCTTGATTCAGGATGAAGTGAGTGTTGGGACTTTGGACAGGTCTTGTTGTTGAGAAGAAAAATATGCATCAGTGTGTGTAATTATGGTGATACTTGAGCATCTGTGCAACACTTTGAATGAAATATTGCATATTAGAAAGACATTTTTAATATCTTGTTATTGGCAGAGGTTTCTATGGAAAGAAAAGCAATTCTCCTGATTCCTAGTTTCCTACCTTGCTCTCTGCCTTTGTGTGTCTGCTGCTTATGTGAGCAACATAAAAATCAGACCACCTACTTATGGAGAACATTGAGATGTAAAGATGTGAGATAAAGTGCCAGCAGGTAGTGAGATACATTCTTGGTAGAAAGTTCGATTTTTATTTTTTAAGTCTGAACTACACATCTGATGTCATGTTTCAAGTGGAAATGATCAACTGCTTATTACATGTGAAACGTCCTGTGTTAGTTTCTTTTTCATTTTCAGTTCTGTTAAAAGGTGTGAAACAAGTTTAAGCTGAAGCCAAAAATGGAGTTTCCCGGGTAACGTAAAGAGAACTAGAGCAATGAGTGAAAGTCACTGCTCTTTGAGCTTCTCTGTGCAAATGCAATTCAAGTAACTAACATTTTTCAATACAGTGTGACAAGTTTGCAAACTCGTTCCAAATGAAGTTGAGTGATTATGCAAGGAATAGTCCTCAGGTGTCTTTTAAAAATAAAAACTGCTTTCCTAGGGTCACGGGTGAAGTGAAGCAGAACACGACTAACACAGTGGTGTGCAGAGTGCAAGGGGAGTGGAACAGCGTGCTTGAGTTCACCTACAGCAATGGAGAGACAAAATATGTGGACTTGACAAAGCTGTCTGTGACAAAAAAACGAGTCCGGCCCCTTGAGAAACAAGGACCATTTGAATCTAGGTAGAGTATGTGTTTACTATTGTCTGACCCTTCTTGCCCTACGCAGTCTGGTGAATGCCTTAGGAAAACCTGCAAATGTAGGTATTATTTGTGGATAGGGCTTAGCAGCAGCTATCTTAATTTTTTATTTTTTTAAAAACAAAAAAACAAGTGCATAATAAAAAGTGCAAAAAACAAGCGCAGGCACATGGTTGTTTATCTTGTCTCTTTTATTCATGGACAGAGTTGTTTTATGAGTTCATAAAGTGCCTGCTAGAACAAAGCCTCCTTATTTGTTTTGTGTTTAACCATCAGCTACACAGCGGGGCAGCTCCTGACAAGGGAGGTCCTCACAAGAAACTGCTTGTTGAATAACACTTCCATAGCAACTTTAAAGGGTGTACAAACAGACATTAGATTGGCACAGCCAAAACATCAGAGCCATTCCTATCCGCTCCTAATCGCTAGCGTAGCTATAAGACTCAGCCGTGAGCCCTTCCACCTGCGCTGCACCATTGTGCTGCGACCTGGGTTGGTTTGGCATGCGTGAGTGGAGGCAGTGTTCCTGTTCTGAAAGAACTGCATGCGGCGGTCCTGTAGTTCGAGGTGGCAGGCTGAGAAAACTTTTGGAAACTGAAGTTAACGATTTGTTTTATAGGAGGCTGTGGCAGCATGTAACAGAGTCTCTGCGGGATGGAGACATCGATAAGGCTACGGAGCACAAGCGAGCCCTTGAAGAACGACAGAGGAATGAAGAGAGGCTTCGTGCTGAAACAGAAACGCCTTGGTGTACTAAATACTTCCTTAAAGAAGTGAGTTCCCAAGCAGTTAGCTGTTAATGAAGGCAAAGGCAGAACTACAATAAAAGCAGGTGCACATATGCGTCCGTGTCCTGTCAGAACAGAGTATTTGGCCTTAGGTCTTGCAGTATTAATAGAGTATTTGGCCTTAGGTGTTACAATTTAGCTCCACAGGATCCATAGGAGTAAGGTGACATAAGCACTCCCAAACACGTAAAGGTGTGACTTTACCCTTCACTTCCCAAACACTTGGTTTTGTGATTCCCTTGCAACAAAAAGTTTGCCTCTTCTGTGGTTCCATTTGTTTTACCAAGCACTTCCTTGTGGCATATGGAAAACAGCTTTACATGTGCACATGTAAGTAGACTGTAACAGTAAATACCCAAAGAAAATAATCAGTAGTACTAATTTTGCTTATGTTGTGTGCATATGAACCCAAGACGTTACTGTTAGCAAGAGTTCATTCTCAACTTGGAACTCTTTATGTTCTTGTACGTTATGTTTTGGGTGGAGCTTATTTGTTCAATGGCTTAACCTGTATTTCAATAATGGTAGTAATAATAATATGTAAGACTTTTAACAAGGTGAACCGTGGACTGCCCAGGAAGACTGAGGGCTGCCGGTATGATAACTTTGAAACAGGCTTTCCTTGTGATCCAGATGATGAGACCCTACTTGTGTAGAGAGCTTTGCTGAGCCCCATGCAAGAGGGGAGGACTCGTAAAATTTATGCTGTAGTAGTTTAGATTCTCCTTGTAGTGAAAGTTTTATCTGTTAAACTGCAGTAGTGTAACTCCCCCTTCTTCTTCCCGTATCTGTGGTCTAGGAAGGGTTTAAAACATAGGCTAAAAAGGTTTTTTCCAGTTTTGTGTTTTAAACTTCAGGACTATCTGTTAGCTCCAATAAAGTTTTTTGTTCTCTAAAGCTATCTTAGTATGACTAGCTCAGATTCAGATATTTGTATTGTTAGTATCTAGATTTAGAAGAAGTGAAATTCTGTTGCTAATTGGAGATACAGATGTACTCGGAAAATGTTTAAACGTAATCCTGAGCTACTTCATTTCCGGGTAAGCAGTTGGGCTGTGTTAGAGCTGATAATCCTGGATAGCTGCATCTCTGCTGGCTTCTTGTTTGGCTTTTTAAAGTAATCTGGATCACGCAGTTGAGACGAGAGGCTTTCCATCTGGGTTAATTACAAGTGCAGTTGATTCCCAGAGCGCGCCGCGGCTCGGCAAGAGTCCGTATGTGTTCTGAAGTAGTTTCAGAAGCCTGCAGCGTTGATCTCTGTGTCTTAATCTGTGGAGTTAAAGGTATAAGATGTGTCCCTCTGGTTTTCACAGCTATCAGTCTAATAGTTGTATGAAAGGAATTCTCCCAGGGCAGTGTCTTTATTATAACCATATTTTGTCTTTAAATTGCAGGGAGATGGCTGGGTTTATCATAAACCCCTCTGGAAAACAGTCTCTGCTGCGCAAACTCAGCAAACGGACACTAACTAGAAAAGCTGCTTTAAGATGAGTTTTCTGATTTTCCTCTCCTTTTCCTCTGTCTCTCAAAACACAGTAATCACACTGAGTGTCCCCTTTTTATGTAATTGTGAAAGTTTAAATAAGCATAAAGAAATAAATATACTAGGGCACTTTAAAGCTATTAAAAAAAAAAAAAAAGATTAAAAAAAAAATCGAAGTTGTAGAGACAAACTTGCCAGGTACATTCAACCAACTTGTTTTTTGTATGACCCAAGAGATTTTATCTGAATTGTGTATTCTTCTAAGTAGATAAAATTGCAGAAGCTGCCTAAGAGAAGAAGGAACTGTTGGATTTTGGAGTGACATGGGAACTTTTTTCAGAATCTGTGTCAAGCTCTTTAATAACTGAAACCTGCTCAGTACCCATGTAGACAACAGCAACAAAAAACTGCTGCTTTTATGCCCAGTGATTAACCTTTTTGGCGAAAACTGGAGGGGTGTTTGGAAGATGTGCCTGAAATCAGTGTTAAGAAACAACTGGATCATGATGACTTTTTTCTTCAGAGAGAACACATGCATGCATCGGAGGAATATGGGATATATGTAGAGACTACCTTTCTTTTTTATGGATTTATAAAAGCAATTAGAATTGTAACCATGGAGAAATTTTTCCTCTGAAACGTTTTAATATACTTGAAATAATTGACTTGAATTGGAAAAGTAATTTGAACACTTTTCAACTCCTAATTTTATTAAATCTCTTTGAGTGACTTTGATTTTTCTCATGTTATAATGTAATAAGGTTTGGCCTTTTATTTTTTTTCCTCCTCCACCTTCCCTTCCCGAGGACTAAGGCTTTCAAAATGAACAGAAAACATACAATTCTGTATTTAAATTTCTCTGCCCATCTAATCATCTCAGAGATGAAGTATCAGTGTTACAAACTGTCCTTTGGATTATTTTGGTTTTTCTCCTGTGGTGTTATTCAGAACAAAGCAGTGAAATGTGACCTGTGAATACATGGACTGTAGGTCCTGGTTTTTCAGCTTACCATAGGGGGAAAAAAAAAAAAGCTGATTATACTGAGGACTGGGTATTGATTTGAAACACAATCAGATATCAGGAAACTGTATTCAGGTACAAACATCCTTTGGTTTTTTTTTTAATAACTATTTTATTGACGTCTAAGAATTGCTGGCAATTAAGAATAGTACTTATTATGGCTTTTGTTATTGTTGTAACTACAAGCTACCTTAATTTTTCCAACAGTGGTGCCTTAATCTGTTTTTTCTTCTGATGTAGTCTTCCAATCAATGTATATAACATTATCTGCCACTTCCCAGCCATGGCAATGGCTGCACCTGATCCAGCATCATGAGAACTCACAACTGCGTGATCTGGTAAGATGTTTTCCACGGAGAAGATACAAGTGTAAGAATGCATCAGAAGGTTTAAATAACCATGTTAACTTTCAACACAAACTGTAAATTGTGCAAAAAAAGAGTTGGGTTTATGCACAGCTATTTTGCTCCTCTTGTACATTTTTTTTTTTTTGCTGTGAAATGCACTGAGATCTCAATGCGAGTCATAGTCCGTTTGTGAGAAGTGGGGGTGGGGATAATAAAACTACAAAATGATTCATTTGTTCTGTCTGCTTTCCTAGAGATCAGGTGACCAGGAAGGGTAGGTTGTTGTTATCTTTTATGCTGGAGATCTGTCTGTCTGGGCTTTCCTTGGCCCTTAAAGTGGGATATTTTGGCACTGTGCACTTGAGTAGTAACTATATTCTCCAGCAGAAGAATGTTTTAGGCCCTGCTATCTTGTTTGTGATATTCTATAAACCATCCTGTTGTGTTAGTTTTGGATATCCATTGGGCATTTTCATGTTTAACCAGGAATAAAAATAAAAATGAAAACAGTGGGATTGGTTCCTCCTTGTTTCTGGGTCTGCGGCACGTTTGGGGTGTGCTCCTTGGCCAATTCCAGGATTTGGGGGTAGGAATCATGGTGGCAACACGTGAACTTCCATGATTCATCAGTACCTGCACCAAACTGGGGGTGGTAGAGGGACAGAAAATAAATTGACAACACTTTATATGTTTCGTAGTTGTTTTATCTGTGTCACATGGCAGATTTGCTTTAAACAAACAGCAAGGGCTGTGGTGCAAGGTCCAGCTTTTAATATTGCAGTGATCAGAGCAGAAAACAAACTTTTGTCAGCTGAGCATACTCCAGAGATCAAACTTGTGCTTATTAAAATATGGACTTATGACTCAGTCACTGAGCTCTGCTTAAAATTTTGATTTGGGAATTTGTCAAGGTCATGGCTGTAAAACAGACTGAAAAGCTCCCATGTTGACCATAAACCCATTTGTGTTCCTTATATAATATTATTAGTCAAGTTATTTCTCTTCCACCCTCATCTGGTATGCTTGTGGTTTCACACTAAGAAAGCTGTTACTAATTTTGTTCTGTAAAAATAGACCCAATGCTGAAGAAGTAGTCTTCTAAAATACATGAAATGATTTCTTTTAACACGGGGGTGCTGCTAGGAAAAAAAAAGGGTAAAGCCTTCCATTGCTCAGATGATCGCAAGAACTGGAATGGCTTCCTGTCGTGGATTTGGTTACGATGCAAATTTCTAGTTACTTCTAGAAACAAAGGACATAGTTGAAAATAGTTTGAAAAAAAATCTAGCCACTGAATATCCAGTTTAAATTGTAAGACATTTATGTGATTGTTCTGAGAGTTGCAAGCACCCTACGGACTAATGGATGTATTTTTAACTCTGACCAGATCTGATTCTCTTGCATAACTGCTGTTGTTTCCATCTTGTACCTTCTGGAGCAAAGGGAAGGGCTCACTGCTGCTTCCTATGTACATATTTGCTAGAACCACAATGTGTTCAAATGCAAAATGTGTGTGCAAAATGTAGGATTTCAACTTACGTTCCCTTCTGTCTTTTTGGCTTGATTGGGCTCCACTGAAGTTAAGAGCAAAATTCTTATTGATCTCAGTAGGTTTAGGCTCCCTGAGTTATAAACAGATCTTGGAGCTTAAGTAAGTGGCTCTCTTCAGAGGTGCTGCGTACCCTACTGCTCATGGAAAACAGTGTGACAAGTCACTCCTATTTAATGCAGGCATTCAGGCATATAATGCTGAAAGCTTGATTCTGGACTTGGTTTTCATGGAAAAAAATGCAATATGTAAATTGGAGTGTTCAAGACTTTAGGCATGGGGAGGGGAGTAGATTGAGAAGTTTTTCAGCATATTTACAATATAAACTGTCAAGCCTAGGATTAAGTCTATGTCTCCGCAGGATAATTTGGATTTCAGCCATCAGAATCAGAGATGCAATGTCTAGTTTGCACGGGCTGATCCCCCTCTGTCCCAGTCACCCGTGGAAGAGCAGGTTGGAGTGTCTTTTAAAGCGTCTTGAACTGCACTTGGAAGAACAAGTACATGTATTCATCAATGTTATATCCAAACAACTTGGTGCAGAACTTGGTAGGGGAAATTCTGCACTGAGTATTATGGGAAGGAAAAATTGGACAGCCTGGGGGGAGTTCGGTGTGTTCCTGTAGTTTCTTATCTCTGTCAGAAAAGCTGCCCCATGCTCTCTGTTTCTCTTGGGCATACATACAGTAGAGCAGTGGTTAATATATTAAAGAAATGAGACTGAAGTCAGATGGGTGAAAGGGTGTGTTTATGGTGAACTGGGAAGGATATGCTTCAAAAGAAGGGGGTTAGCTTGAAAAAATCATAAGGTGACAGGAGGTAGCAGCCAGGTGGGGAATTGGTGAGAATCGTAGAATCATAGAATCATTTAGATTGGAAAAGACCTTTAAGATCATCGAGTCCAACTGTAAACCTAACATTGCCAAGTCCACCACTAAACCATGTCCCTAAAATGAAAGGTATGATCACAGTTGCAGGTGGAGACTTATTCATGGTAGCTGAAGTCAAGTTTTTATTATTTAGATTTGATGCAACCTAATTCATTCCCCTTCTATCCTTCTTTGAAGGGATTAGAGACAATTTTGTTCAAGGCTTTTATTTTAGGAGCTGTGGAAACGGTCCAAAGAGGTGGAAACAATAGCGAGAGAACAAAAGCTTTTTGTATGGGCTGGTGCTGTTTATTTTAGAAAACCAAAACAGCCCTGCAGATCTGCTTCCCTGCTCCGCATCGGGGAGCCTCAGCTGTAGAAAGCTTGTGGCTGTTGTACGGTTTTCTCCCTTCCCCCGTCTTGTAGGGGTTGATCCATGCAGCTGTGTGATGGCAAGCAAAGTATTCCTCTCGCATGCTATCCTGAAAGATATACCTTTGTGTAGGTAAGTGTCAGGTATGGGCTTGCAGGGCTTCTTACTAGCAGCTAGGGTTTTTATTACCTTTTGCTCCCAAGCGTGGAGGGATTAAAGACTTGCACAGTGCCAGGGTTCAGAGCGAGGTATGACTTACCTTTCCTTAATTGCCTTTCCACTACGGAGGCAGCCTGGCTTGGTCTGGTGGTTACGGGAGTAAAGGTCCCGGTTCTGTGTGATCATGTTTCTTTATGTTGAGTAACACAGCAGAGGGGTATGAAGGGGTTGCAAGAAGAATAAGCCGACACGTTTGTGTTGATGGTATTATGTGGCACAAATCTCTTGGCTACAGGTGGCTGGAAACTGGACTGATACGGGAAAAGAGTTGTCTAGATACCCTGTATGGAGACTTCTTAGAATGAAACAGCGGTGTCTATATTGGTGACTTTTTTTTTCTCTATTGAAGAAACTTCACGCACCTACCTGAACTAGCAAGTACACCCTGGAACTCCCCAGTGAAAAAAGGTGTGTTGGAGTTGCAGCTGATCAGGCTGGATTATCAGGTATCTTTATGCTCTAAGGACTGTCTGATCAATTAATAATTTTCTTGGGTGCCAGCATTTCTTCCACTGAGGGTGTGTTACATCTCAAGATTTTTTTTTCTTCTGCTGCTACAACAGATTTCTTTTTTGTGTGGAGGCCATTAAAAAAGGAAAATTGAAAATTGTCTTGATATCTGCAGAATAAGCAGTTAGAAGAGAAACTCGTGATGGCAATATGGAAGGACTTCAAAAGATAGACATGGAATTCAGGTGCTTATTAATAAAAGATTAAACATTATTATTTTAAAAAATAATAAAAGGAATGCTTTGCATCATTATACATTTAAAGTAAGTACAAAATCAGTTCATATATAATGTTGCACTTTAACCAAAGTATTGATTCCACAGTTCACTGTATC